CTAAGCACTGGTACGAGGTCTGACCTCGCTCACTACCCTACGGAAGAGCCGACCTTTGGTCGAGCCTATAGCCGGTTGAAATGAGCTATGTACACACAAAAAAAAAAATCACATAATAATAATAAAAAAAAAATTTAAAAAAAAAAAACAAAACAAAACAAAAAAAAAAAAAAAATGACTTGGTTGAGGCCTCCTCGGCCACCAGCTGAGGCAAGCCTCGGCCTCTCCCATGGTCGAGGTGGTTGAGGTGGTCCTCGGCCACCTGGCCGAGGCGACCCTTGACCAAGGCAGTCCTCAACCATGGTAGCCGAAGCGACGGTGCTCCGTATTTTTTTTTAAAGATAAATAAAAATAACAATTAAAAAATATTATCGAATATATTTTACACCAATGTTTTTACATCATTACTACTCCCTTGTTGATTTTACTATGCTCTCACCTCAGGAGTAGGGGGGCTGATGACAGAATAATTGGATAAGTACTAGATCCAACCCGAAGCAGATTCAGACTAACCGGCAGTAGTCAAAGGAATTAACACATGCTGACATGCATTTGGTAACGGTCAAGAGTGAAGTTGAAGAGGTAGAATGGTTCTTAGAGTCCAATACCGCCTCATCAATGAGCGATTATGAGGAGAGCGCGGCAATTACTAAGGAGCCCAGACACTTATGGAGAGGAGTCGTTGAACTTATTAGGAGGTCGTTAGTGTCTTTATTGTAGCCGTTACCATTATACAATATAAAAAGCTGAAGTAATGTAAGTATGTAATAAGTGGGGGGACACGCTCGACGTTCTAATTCTTATACTGAAATACTTAGCAATACAACTTGTTACTGACATATTATATTTTATGGTAACATATTTACCGTCAGTGCGTTTTTGGTGATGCGTACTTATTGTTTTATTTTTTTGTTGTGTATTTCTTAACACTGTATGCATATTTGCATAATTATTATTTTGCATTTTCTTATTGATTTTATTATTTTTGTTATTAACCATCCTTTGAAAAGAATAAGAAAGGAAGATTGTGAATGCAAGGAATTTTTAACAACATTCATGAAGATATGCACAATTCCTGAGTGCTTTACACGATTCTCCAAACACACTTAATTGCGTTTGCACACATTTAATTCACGTTCGCACACACATAATCTAATCTAGACCATTAAAAAATATTAGATGGATGCACACGATTTGTTCTCACGTTCTCAAATAAGCAAGTGTTCTCATATAATCCTAAATCTATATATATAGGCCAGTGTTCCCGTAAGTCCATCCTTTCCCATGAATCCGTGTGGACAACTGTGATCCATTGATCTAGAGACAAATAATGGCTAGGATTTAATTGACTTTTATTTAAATTTCATTATCAATTTAATGAGCAGGGGTATACATTGGACTGTGCATTTAAAAGTGGAAAATAATATATTAAGGGATTTTGCATGATTTTAGGGAGTGTATAACAATTTATTTGTACGCTGATCGTCATCTCTTCCTGCTTCATTACACAAGTCACACACACCACCGGGAATGGAGACTCCGGCGACGGGTAAGTTATTTTCCGGCATCTAGTTTTTGGTTTATGGGTGCCTTCTTGAAGTGCACATATGGGGTATTGATCAATTGTGATTAGTTGGTGATCTCATAGACCTCTGTCTGCTACCATTGCGAATCTAATGTTATTGTGTATTTTGTGGATGTCGGCTTAGAGGGTTGTGATGGTTTATTAAATGAGACGACTGTGCACCCTCGTATTGTTGCATGTGCGTCGTTTTAAGCTGTAATTAGAGTTTCAACAGTATAGGTGTTAGTGTCCATCTAGAATTTTTAAAATGGAGTCGACTGTGCACCTGCGTATTTGAGATTGTGCATCTGTATAAGCTCAAACTAGAGGTACAATAGTAGAGGTGTGAGTGTCCAACTGGGTAGGTGACCTGTGCAACTGGGATGAAAAGTGTACTGTGCACTCCAAACCCTATTGTGGGCAATTACAAATAGAAACGGAAAAAAAAAAAAACCTTCAAAATCAGCCTAACATTTACGCCACAAATCTCCAAAATACCCCTGCAATTAATACACAACCCAATTACCCCTGCAATTGATGATCCTCGGTCTTTGTTGAGAGTGTGATGAGTCTTTGACGTTGATCTTCTTCTGGCTTTCAAATGACTATATACTGTATTCCTCAGTCTCAAACGCTTTTGATTATATCTATCTATATACTATGCTATTTAACGCGTATTGATGGGTTACTAGCATTATTCCCTGACCGGGTTTATCCCTATGTTTTACAGGTTTTGCTTAGACGGAGAGCGCGCTAGAAGTGGACTCTAGTTAGCGTAGCTTTGTTTTCCCTCTGCTTAGTTTTGTGCCTGTGAGCCTTAGATAGACGGTGGCCTGTGTGCCTTAGACAATGTGTTGTTTTGTTGGATTTTGTAGACTTAGCATGTGCACCATAGTTTTATGGGTGTGGCATAACACCTTTCCCGGTTTATAATAGCTTCGCCTTTATGTTGATTGATGTTTAGTTTCCCTATCTTTGAATTTTAAGTTTTAAAATGTTGGTAAAATCGGGGGTGTTACAGCTCATATGCGGTCATCATCTGCCATGCGGTCGAGTGGCCTAATCTGCATCGTTCGATCATTTGCATCCAAAGGCACGTGACAATCTCAGTGCACCACATATCACTTGAAAATGTACCACACAACACTCAGAAATGCACCATAGAACACTAAAAATGCACCGCACACTAGTACACAATACACCTCGTTGACAGTTCTATTGAACCCGTCGACAAGTTTGACACCCCGTTGAGTGGTGTAATACAAATAAATGCACCATTAATCACTCAAATATGCAACATAGAGCACTCAAAATTTCACAACAGAGCACTCAAATATGCACCACACACTAGCACCTGATAACGGGTCTATTGAACCCGTCGACGGGTTTGACACCCTCGTTGAGTGGTGTAATACAAATAAATACACCATTAATCACTCAAATATGCACCATAGAGCACTCAAAATTGCACCACACACTAGCACGTAATGCACCGTCGAAATATACCTGGTGCAAAAATTACGATATTACCACCCCGTAATTTCTCTTCTTCATTGATTTCCAGCCGTTTGATCTCAGCTCATCCTACGATTCTAATATATCTGCATGACCGCATGGGAGACTAAGGCCGCACCTGAACTCTACTACTACTACACACACTGTTTGTTTGTTTATATGGCTGCAGTTCAGCAGGCATGTTCGGCATCGTATGTTGCAAATTTATGAGCTTGTCGATTATCATATTTGTGAGTTGGCAGTGAAACTATTTGGATGCCGTCTACAACGGGTGATTTTACGTTGGCATCAGCATAAAATATGCTTAGACCAAGGATGGGTTCAACTCTCTCTTCAAAATGTATTTGAGCGCCAGGTATCTTTACTAAGTGCTCAATATTTATGTGGAAGCTTCTCAGGATCAGAGGTACTTTCCATTCCTAGACTGCCTAGAGAGGTTTGAGAATTGTCTACCTTCCATTTCTTCTTTTTTTTTTTAAAAAAAAAAATGCAAGTGCATCTGTGGAGCATTGCCTTTTTTCATGTGTTCATGTTTTTTCGCGTGTGGCATAGTTTTGCTTTAATCTTTGGAATTTCCCTTGATAATGTCCGATCGGTAAGAGCTGTGTGTCATAAATGGTGGTTATCAGCTTCGTCGGGGACTACTGCGGGTTTATTTTGCTACCTCCTCCCTTGTCTTATTCTTTGGGTGGTGCGGACTTTGTATTATTGTATAATGCTGCTCTGTATGATAGTACTCCATTCTCTTCTATTGCTGCTATTTCCAAGATTAAAAAGGAAACTTTTTTGTTTCAATTCTTTGGTTCATCGTGTTCGTATAAATGGTTTGTTGGATCAATTCTTGGTTTCTGAGGGGATTATTGCTACATTTGTCTCTCCTCCGAGGCGCATGGTGACTTGGATTAAGTGGCACAAATCACTTTCAAGACGTCTCAAGTTAAGCAATGATGCATTATTTTTCATAAATGGAGTGGCAGGTGGGGCATGTTTGAGGAATTCGGCAGGCTTTTCATTGCGGGATTATCTTTTCCATTGCTTGCCTTCTCGGTACTCGAGGTGGAGGTATTGGCATTTGATTTTGCCTTGTGTTGGTGTGATATGGCATCTACTTGGACATGTTGAAGTTGATTCTCTTGCACTGGTTCGGTATGTTACCTCGTCCACAATATTGGTCCCGTGGAGAGTTCATGGTGTGCTTAATCAGATCCATTCGCGGTTGGTTTTTTGGTCTTCATCAATTGTTCATTTTTATGGTGAAGCAAACCGTGTCACGGATCGGATACTTTAACTTCATAGGGTTTGCCTTGCTCATCAGCTGCGCTTCTATGTTTTCTTCGTTTAGCTTGTTACCAGAAACTATTAAATTGATCCTTTTCTATGATTTCTGAGACTTTACCCTTCGAGATTTATTCATTCATAATAAATCTTATACTTTACTTAAAAAAACAAAAAATCATCTTTTGAACTTTATCATTTAAGCACTTGCTCTATGCATCGAAGAACACCATATCCTGATGTATCACAATTATCAAGATATTCTCTTTCATCTCCATTACTTCAAGTAGTTTCCTCTTGTGGTCCAATTTTTTATCAATGGATAAATTAATAATTTTAGGTAGTTTTTCTCCAAACCATACGCTAGCTTATTAATAAATTAAATTCACTAATTATATTAATTTTAATCTTAGACCTTAATCCATGTGAGTGTTTATGCATGTTGCTTTTGTTGGTCTCCTGCATTAAATCATTTACCATATTCCCTTATATTGTGATATATATAATTAATATGTAAAGTAAAGAATGTTATTTTATATATGATAGATATTGCTTATTTTGTCCATTATAAACAGAATTTAAAGTGCATAATTTAAATTAATTGACTAAATAACTGGTGTTTTACAACCCAAACACATAACCCATCAATCCACGAACTAAATAATATCAAAAAATAAAATCAAATCAAATCAGTTGATTCAATTATATTAGGTAAGTTAAAACTATGAGCTATTTTGATGTCAAATTACTCAGTAATCAAACTATTTAACCATTGATCATATCAAACTTTGCATGTATAAATTCAAATACAACAATTCAAGCCTGCCAACATCTAACTTTATCACATCATTCTGCATGTATCAATTCAGTATTTCAGTGCTTGAGGATTTATCCCATATGCTGAACAATTTCTTGGCTCCATAGATGTATCGATTACTTGCAAGTAATCGCAGTCATAGTACCAATCATGAAATACCTCAGCAAAGGTCTGTAAAAATAACACTAAATTTTGTCACAAAAAAGATCTATATATATAGTAATTAATTAAGTAAATAAAGAAATATCACACTATTTTTATATTTTTTTTGACATTAAGAAATATCGCACTATTAATTACCTTGTTCCCTATGATTTTCAGCGTAGAAAAGTAAGGCAAATCATGGGCGATACAACTTGTAATCCACATGCCCCTAAATAATGGAAGAGCTTTCGGCAGTGCAGCTAATACATCCCATCTCAATTCTGAAAAATAAATAAATAATCAAATCTTTATTAATTATTTTATATATTATATATCATCCATTTCGGCCTCATGAGAAGTAACATTTTTTTTTTCCACACTTATAGCACTAACCTTGCATTGCCTCCTTCCGGTCATCGGTGCAGTTTTGGCTAACCAAGCACACTTCGTCCTCACGAAATAAGTTCAACCTTATCTAAAATAAAGAAACATTGAAAATAAAATTATATATTTAATTTATTTTAACATTGTGACAACTAATAGATTCATGATGGAATAACATTTGAAATCACCTAACTTAATATTAAAACTAAATTGCTTGGATCATTGAATTAAAATCACCAAAAATTAACAAAGAGTCCAATTAACCTGGATTTGGTCAAATGCTGACATAGCAATGAAAACGGGTGTCTTCACAAACAACAATAGATATTGCGGGAACAAGCACTGTGTGGATCCAAAACATGAAATATTTAGCAAAAAATGAAATATTTATTATGCCACAAACTCAACATTAAATTGGTTTAATTAACTTACAAGACTCGGTCTCATTATTGAAGTGCACAGTGGAGGTAGCATTGCAGCTGATCCCTGCAAAAAATTTTTATTAAAGTTTATATTTGAAAAATTAGCTTAAAAAAATAATATAATAAAACATTTATAAACTAAAGAAATTGAAATTACACGTAAATCAATCAATGCATCAAATGTCGGCTCAAATTGTTTGCTCCCCAATAGGTTTTCCCTAATAAAAGATTAGACATGTTATAGTTAGTTCATTCCATTTTTAGAATAATTTAATTTATTTTTTTTGTAAATAAATTTGAAATTGACTATTATTTATAAAAATAAGCTTACTCGTGCACAAAATATCCTGCAATTGGGAGGCATTTTACTCTAGCAAATAGTGGGAGAAGATCTCGAAATCAATCACAGTGAACCATTGGTGTCAATCCCCCCGCTGAACTACCAATCAGAAATGCCTACAAATCTACAATAAATTTAATAACAAATTATTTATTTTATTTCCCTCCAAAAGAGAAAAATAGAAAAAGAGAAAAAGAGAAAGAAAATCTCAAAACATTAGAGTTTTCCCATGGCATAAATATTTTGTTTCAAATATCAAATTCAATAATCTAAATTATAAGTTCAATCAAATATATATATAACTAAAGATTACCATACATTTTGTGCACAATTCATTCCTTTAGACAATATATCGTCCATCGTGGCCTTAAAAATTTTAGCACCTCTTTATGTCACGTTAGTCACCTTAAAAAATAAAATAAAATAAAAAACAAGAGTTAACATATTTAGTATATTTTAAATTAAAATACTTTAAATTCAATTTTATAATACTTACTGTGTCAGGTGCTTCAACATCTCATGTAAACGACGATCCATCACAGTATGGAACATAGACTCTATTCAAATTGTAGAATTCTATATATAATAAAATTCAAATATTAAATTAAAGTCTAATAATAATTAAATAAATAATTTTAAATTTATTTTACTTGGGTTTTCTGTGAAATTATTTGAAAGAAAATCTATAAATTCCATAGATTGAGGCATATGCTTGGAAGAACCTCGACTATATGTACTGCGAATTAGGCAATCTGTTTGATTAACGCACCAACCTCCACCCTTCAAATCACATGTTTATGGGAAAAAAAATATTCTCTTGTACACAAATTTATTATTAGAACACATTTTGCAGCTGAAAAAAATATCAAAGCTTTTGTATAAGAAGAAATGCAGACAGAATTTAACGCACCAACCTCCACCCTTCAAACCAAACTATCATGATGAATATTTACAAGCTGTCAAGCTCATTCATGCTTTTCAATTCAATTATTATTTTTTTTACTAATATAGTTGGTCGATTGAACTTTTATTTATTGCAAATTTATTACAGATGGGATTTTTTCTTCACATTATTTATTGAACTTTTACATAGGCCGGGATGGAGTTTGACAGCTAGGAAAGTGTAGTGTGTCACCTCACCTCTTACCTCTCTCACTTTTTTTTTTCCAACTACTCTGTATATATATTAATTATAAGACCTACTTAGCTTGTATATCATATATAGTATATTAGCCCATTACTGTTATAGTAAAATTAAGACATTAAGACATCTTTTTGATCGATTGATCGTGTTATACTGTATTTTCCTAATTAATATGATTTACATTTTTTATATAATTTGTAGATTATCACACATGAATATAGTTTACTTAATGCACACTCTAATATGATCTTTGTCAATCCCAAGAAAAAAAAACTAAATAATACTCTTCTCACAAGAGTATCATTAAGATTTTCCATATCTTTATATATTACAATTAAATCTATATTTAACATAACTAACCAAATATCAAAGTTTACATTTTTAAAATGTAAGAGTAAAACAAATGAGCTAGTAAACCTATGGCATAGATAGTCAATTCTTATAGGAAAGATTGCATGAGCAAGCTAAGACCTATGTAGGTACTAATTAGGAATGAGAGAGTAATTGTAGGGAGGGAGAACATGTGGTATGTGTTGCATATATTTAGAATCAAAATTATTGAAGTCAGTAGAATCAATTTAAGGTTGATATATAAAACTAAATTACCTAAAATTCGATTATTCATTAGTAATCAATGTAAAATGCTATGGTCATATTTGAAAAAAAAATTATATTATTTAGTTGATAGATTTTTTTTTTTCTTTTAGAAAACGTTGATAGAAAATATATTCAATTGAAAAATAAAATTTTCAAATTTGAGAAAAGTGACCTCACCTCTCGCGTCTCTCATTTTTTAACGTCGAGCCTTTAACGTCAGCTATATACTTAACCGACGTTAAAACATTTAACGTCGGCTATTTACAAATAGCCAACGTTGTAAATAAAATATAAAACAATTAAAAAATTAAATACAATACAACGTCGGCATAAGCTATTTTTTTTTCATAATTAATATACGACGTCGGTTTGTTCTAAAACCAACGTCGTATAGTATTATTATTTATTTTTTTAAACTATTAACCCACGATATCGCCTTTCTAAATAGTCGACGTCGTTGGTGTTTTAAATTAGCCTAGATCTCGCACAGACGACTCATTCGCACAGTAACCACGCAGACGACTCATTCGCCATTTCGCTCAAATGACTCACCGCGCACAGCCACCGGTCCGCTCATCGCCATCGTTTCGCTTAGCCACAGCCCACTACCACACTGCCCCACACAGCCACTGTTCCAGTTCGACGCTTTCTTCTTCGCCCTGCACATCCTCCGCTACCCTGCCTTCGCTACACCAGACCACTGCCGCACCGCGCTGCCCAGCCTCCGCCGCACCAGACCACCGTCGCACCGTCGACTACTTTGTGAGTTTTTTTTTTAATTATTATTTCAATTTCTGGAATTATTATATATTTGGAATTATTTATTAATGTATTTCGAATTTTAGAATTTATTAGCTATACATTTTGAATTTTATAAGTTATTGGTTATAAATTTGGTATTATTAGGTTGATATATTTGTATTTTAAGATTTATTGATATTATATTTTGAATTATTATTTATTTATTTCATATTTTAGTAAACAATGTTGATATGTTTGTATTTTAGAATTTATTGATATTATAATTTAAATTATTATTATTTTATTTTGAATTTTAGGCATTATTATTATATTTTGAATTATTTTAGGAATTATTAGGTATATATTTTTGAATTTTATAAGTTTTTTTTTTTTTTTGAAGCTTGAATTTTATAAGTTATTTGTTATATATTTGGAATTATTAGGTTGATATATTTGTATTTTAGAATTTATTGATATTATATTTTGAATTTTAGTAAATAATGTTGATATATTTGTATTTTAGGATTTATTGATATTATATTATGAATTATTATTAATTTATTTCTAATTTTAGGCATTATTGTTATATTTTTAATTATTTTAAGAATTATTGTTAGGAATTGCATGGTTGAATCATGTTATTAAGTCACTATGTAGTAATTTATTTTGTCCATCTACTTGCCTTTGTATTCATTACTTAGTGTACCGAAAAACTAATACTACTAACTAGTCTACTCTCACCACAATAATTTTAGATATTATATTATTATTATTTTAGATATTTGTTGAATCAATGTTAAAAAAAGTTTAATTAGGATTAATATTATTTTAGAGTGACTTGTGATGGACAAAAGTTGAATGAATGCTTCTCGGATTAGTACGGAATATGAAGTCGGAGTTAGAGAATTTTTAGACTTTGCAAAACGTCATCTTCCAAATAATAATGGGATGTTTTTTTTTTTTTTTTTTGTCATTGTAAGAAGTGTTGTAATCTAAGAAAAATAGGTGTAAATGGCATATATGATCATCTAATTTGTGTTGGAATTAATCCAAGTTATACAAAATAGATATGGCACGGTGAAGGAGGAGGAGGGACTACTACATCTAACATATATGTTGACAACAAAGCAAATGAAGATGATGAGTGTGAAGATAGGTTGGATGAAATGTTTCGTGATGTCGGAGAAGAGTTAACCAATCGATCAAATGATAAGGGTGTAGTAAATATACTCGGTTATTTGCTATTTTGAAATTATTCAACTTAAAAGCTGGGAATGGATGGAGCGACAATAACTTTACTGCTTTAATTGATTTATTAAAGGATATGCTTTCAAAAGATAATGAACTCCCGAAGAGTGCATATGATGCCGAGAAGATTCTGTGTCCCATGGGTATAGAGTATGAAAAGATACATGTTTGTCCTAATTAACGATTGGGTATTGTTTAGGAATGATTACAAAGAATTGAATGCATGTCCAATCTGTGGGGCATCTCGGTACAAAACAAGAGAGCATGTAGTTGGTAAGGCAAGTTTGAAAGGGCCACTAGCTAAAGTTATGTGGGATCTTACCTTACCCTTTAAGCTAACTAAAAACACAAAATAACTTTAGATCTTACCATTCCCTAAGCTTGGAAGATAGAAAGGTGGGATCATGGGATTTATCTTTGCAAGGTCGGGTGATGTCTTTCTTGGCTTGGGGAAGAAGCCAAGTTTTATTAGAGAGAGAAGGGAGAGAAAAGTTGTCTTGCTAAAGTGGGGAAATGAATTTTTGGTTTGATAGGGTAAGGCTTCAAGACCAAGTAAGGGGAAAAGACTATCATGGTCTTACTTTCCCTAGAAAGGCTTAGGAAGACCTCAAAGAATTAGGTACAACCATCAAAGCTAATGGTACTCCTTTTTGACTTAAATCAATTGACCAAGGAGTTGGTCAATTTAGGTCCTCCGACTATCAATTAAGGAAATTGATTAGAAAGTCAACAAAGATAACTTGGGATAATTACTCAATTAATCCTATTTAAAGGATAGGAATTTCGGGGTGTCACACACTCTCCCCCTAACAATAAGCTTCGTCCCCGAAGCTTGTGTACAGCAAGGTTTGTCAAAATGGATAACGGTGAACAAAATGTGACATGAATAAATGTAAAAGATAAAGAAGGATTTTAGGCAACAAGCTCTCACCAAGCAACTCTTACAAAATCTAAAGCACACTCACAAAACCAAGGTCTAAACTAACAACCAAAC